ATGTACGCCTGGCGTGCACAGCGTTCGACTGTGCTTGCCCTGGCTTGGAAGAAAGGTCCCGGGAGGGGGCCTCGGCCGATCCCGCCGCCGTGCCCAAAGCGCGGCCGGACATGGCACAGCGCCCGCCTCCAAGACGAACTGCGTGGTCCAGGATGGCCTCCACCCAGAGCTCCAACGCATAGGCAACGGAGTTTTTCAATATAAATCTCGGCCCCTATCCTGCAAGGCGAATCTAAAAATAACAGATGCATTTAGATGCGATCGCGCCCAGGTACAGGCGAGAAGTCCATCGTATCTGTTTTCAACAACGACGACCAGATGTATACATACATATATATATGTATACATACATACATGATGGTATTTATTTTTAGATGCGCGCCCCCAGCCTGCGCGGGAGCGCCGCCGTATCTAAACGCATCTACTTGTCAAGCATATCTACACATGTGGGGCCGCATCGATTTTCCTTTAAGAATGTGTGTATGTATATACAGATTCGCATCTACTTTCTCAAATCATGACAACGCCGCGCCGTATCTATTCGTATCTAACTTTTGTAAGAACGAATGCTGTTGGCTGTGCTCTCGGCACGAACCACATCCATGATATTGGTCGAAGCGAAGAACAACGGGATGTGGATAGTGGGAAGCCGCAGCGATGAGGAGTGAGGAGACGAGCGACGACGACAAAAACGACGAGGCGTAGGATGGACAACAACGACGAAAGGAAATTCAGGATAGAACTGGGTCGCAACAGGGAACCGTAGGATGGGGAGAGCAAAGAGGAGAAGGAGGAGGAGGAGGAAGAGGAGGGAGGAGGAGGAGTGATTCGGACGATGAGCGCGGACGAGGAGGAGGAGGAGGAGGAGGAGGAGGAGGACGCGCGGCGAGGAGGCAAGAGGAGCGAGGTAAAGTTGGAGGGAGCGTCAGAAGGAGAACGTGGAGGAGGGGGAGTCAGGACGGGGATGAAGTCGATCAGCGATTGAAGAAAATGGCTCTTCTCCTTTTTCCTCCTCGTCCTCATGATCGTTCGGCTCGCCCGCCGTCCGTGATTTCTCACTTCACTTCCCCCTCCTCCTCCTCCATATCCTCCTCCTCCTCCTCCTCCTCATCATCGTCGTCCTGACTGGCATGTGTATTGTCTTCCCTGTTCGTGGTCATTGAGCGGTCTAGGCCTGGCAGTGGAAACATGGCACCGTAGCTATTCGTATTTATTTTTGGTAGACATGTTTTCCAACGATGGGCGCCATATTGAACCGTATTTAAAGAAAACTAAGCATATCTATTCGCATCCACAAATGACAAGTTATCTAAAATCTGGCAGAAAACATGCCCCCTCTATCTATAGCAACAAGAAATCGTGTCTAAACATATCTATTTTTTAAACATATCCATTCGTATCTAATTTTCTTCATGGAAACGCCGTAAACCACAAATGATTCAGGGAGGAATGTTAGACATCATCTGGTCCTTCCGAATGAAGCTGCCGCTGGGGAAATGAGCAACAAGAATAGATTTTGAGATGTGTCTTCCGGGGTAGGGGCCCTCGCCGAGCCCAGGGATCGTCAAACAATGACTCGGGATGAAAAACCGGTCCTGGGGAATGGGTCGAGACTTCGGGGGTCCCCGCATTGGAAAAAACAAAGAAAACGCGACAGTGGATCTGAGGAGGAGGAAGAGGAGGAGGAGGAGGAGGAGGAGGAGGAGCAGGAGGAGGAGGACGAGGAGGAGGAGGAGGAGGGAGGAGGAGAGGAGGAGGAGGTGGAGGAGGGAGGAATGAGGAGGAGGAGGAGGCGGAGGAGGAGGAGGAGGAGGGAGGGGGAGGAGGAGGAGGAGGAGGAGGAGGAGGAGGAGGAGGAGGAGGAAGAGGATATGATATCCGACCATCGCCAGGGGCCGACCGTCTCCGACGGCCCATGTTTCGGACGCCGGCAGTGGGTGCGGAAACAGCGGGCATGACGCCCGGCAGCAGCTGCTGTCCAGAACCAACAGCGCCCGCTGTTGGGCAAGCGGCCTTCTGCCTCAAATGAGCAACGTCCGTGGCAGAGACTTGTTCATAATGAACAAAGGCGGCTGTCGGTCTTCGTGCCCATTCTTTCCGAGCCTCTTTCGATCGTGCCCACCTGCTGGGCCTGCGCTGCCTTGGGCGTCGCTCCACAGCGGGGCGATGCATGAGGGGGGGGAAGAGAAGGTGCACCATCTCGGGCCCTAAAGGCTCCCTTTGGGGGGCCCTACCGGAGCCCTTCTGGGGCCCTAAGGGCTCCTTTTCTGAAGCCCTCGCTGCCCCCCTGGGATCCGACGTTGCGGAAAAAAATGCAACATCGCAAAAAATCACGACCGGAGCCCTGGACCCTATCTTTCTGTGTCATTTGTCGAATCGGATCGATATGTGATGATCCCGGAGCCCGAAACGGGGCGAAAACTCCCGTTGTGAAGAAATTGCAACGCCAGGATCTCAAGGCTCCCCATTTCTCCCCCGGAGTCTCGACCCATTCCCCAGGACGAGTTTTTCATCCTGAAATTTTGTTCGACGGTCCCGGGGCCCAGCGAGGGCCCCTAGAAACCGAAAACTGCGAAAAGCCTCCGTCTTTGATTTTTCCAGCGCGTTGGATCTCTGGGTTGCGCGACGCCCAACTGGCTCCCGCAGGACACCCTCCGGCTTCCGCCCGGGACGCCAGCCCGCTGCCGCGGGCCTCCATGCGTGCCTCCCCAGGGATCCGACGCTCCGAAAAATTGGAGGTGGAGATGGATGGTGTCAGATGGTTGGCAGTTTTCGGCCTCTGGGAGGCCCTCGCCCGGACGGGCCTCGGCACCGTCCACAAGACGTCGCAGGACGAAGAGCTGGCCCTATAGGGAAGTGGTCCAGACCTCGGTGGCCCACGCATCGAAAAAAGTGAAAGTGAAGCAGCCGGATGCCTGGGGAGCTGGCTGCGTGCCAGGCCAGTTCAGCTGCGTGCGAAGCAACTGCGCGCGGCTCTTAGCGCGTGCGAAGCAAGCGCGTGCGAGTGAAGTGCGTGCGAGGTTGTGCTTCCCCGAGTCTCCCAGGGCCCCCCTCTGGGGGCGAGGGGCTCTCTGAGGGCCCCTCTGCTTGCCTGCCCCTTGCCATGGCCCTCGCGCCGGCATCTCCGCTCTGAGGGGCGGCTCCACCGCCCCCCCTTCCCTCGGGCGCACATCAGGCGACGAGGGGGGCGAATGGCCCGACGGGAGCGCAATGCATATATCCAGGGGCGTCAATGATCCCTGCCTGCGGCGCGGCCTCCGGGAAGTGGCCCACGCATCGACAGACATTGGAACAGCCGGATGTCTGGGCCCCGCCAGGGCCCCCGCCGGGGCAGGAGCCCCGACAGCCCGCGGCCCCGCGGCGGGAGGCGAGGCCCCCCCGCGCCTTACTGCCGGGGCCGTGCGGCGGGAGACGCAGACCCCCCCAATCGCGCTGCGAACAAAAGAAACACACGACAGGGGGGGGGGGGGGGGGGGGGGGGGGGCGTTCGCTCTTTTCGGCCCATCCGGGGGCCCTTCCCGGGCCTCGGGGCCGTCAAGCATCGGGGGGGTACCAATGGGGGGTGGCCCAAAGGGGGGCGGGCGGTGAAGACAAGGGCCCCGAGTGGGCACGTCAGGGCCCTTTTGGGGGGCGCCAGCTGGCTCCCGACGGGGCGCTACAGGGCCCAATGTAGGGCCCTTCTCTTCATCCCCCACTCTGGCCATCGCTCGGACGTCCATTTCCTGTGTTTTTGCTCGGTTTCGTGCGTGGTTTTTTCGCGAAATGATCAAGGATGCTCCTCGATGGTCCTCGCCGAAGGAAACCGCCCGAAAAAATAATGACCCAGGATGAAAAACCAGTCCCGGGGAAGGGGTCCAGGGTCCAGACCTCTGGGTGTCGACGTGGTGAAAAAATCACGACGTCGGGGTTTGGGGTGACGTAAGACTCGAATAAGGAGTAGGGAGGACTCGAGTAAGACGGAGGAGGTCCGTCAAAAATTCAGGGGCGTCCCGATTCTGATTCGTCGTGCCCAATCGAGCGCACCAGCCCTCGCATGCGAGGACTCGCACCCCTCCACACCTTGTAGACGAGAAAGCACTGAGGGGCCGGGCAGCGCGGCAGGAGAAGGCGCAGGGGCGCATGGTGCCACACCGGGCCTGCACGTCCCTGCCTCGCATTGGGCAGCACCAGAGCTCGGCCGAGAAGCACAGAGCTCGGCCGAGAAGCACTCGGCCAGGCTGAACTCGGCCAGCTGACCTCGGCCGAGCTTCGCCTGGCCGAACCCTTCCTGCCCTGAACTGGCTTCGGACCGGCTTGGGAGCCGAGGGGACAACCTTTCCAGACCCCCGACCTCCGACGTCGTGATTTTCCAGCAATTGTCGGCCCCCAGAGGTCTGGACCCTTTCCCAGGGACCGGTGCTTCATCCCGGATCGTTTTGTGACGGCCCCGATGCCCGGGAAGGCGCCCGAGGCCCAAAGTAGCGAACCTCCCCCCGTCACGATTTTTTTCACAGCGCGAGGTCTGGGTTTTCTGCTCCCGCGGGTCCTGCGCCCCCTTCAGCGGCTCCCGCTCCACAACAGGCGCCGCCTGCCGCCTGGCCCTCCTAGCGGACGGCCCTCCGCCCCGCCGCGTCGTCGCCGTCGCCGTCGCCGCCGCCGCCGCCGTCGCCGTCGCCGCCGCCGTCATCGTCGTCGTCGTTGTTGTCGTTGTTGTCGTCGTCGTTGATGTCGTCGCCGTCGTCGTCGTCGTCGTCCTCGTAGTCGTCGTCGTCGCTCTCGTCCTCGTCCTCGCCGTCGTCCTTGTCCTCGTCGTCGTCGTCCTCGTCGTCGTCGTCCTCGTCGTCGTCGTCGTCGTCCTCGTAGTCGTCGTCACCGTCGTCGTCGTCACCGTCGTCGTCGTCGTCGTCGTCGTCGTCGTCGTCGTCGTCGTCGTCGTCGTCCTCGGCTTGGCGCGCTTGGCCGCCCCGCCGCCGCCCTCTGGCGCCGCGGCCGCGGCCTCGCGCCCCGCCCCGCTGGCGGCGGCCTCCTCCGAAGGGGCGCTCGCCGCCGCGCCGCCGCCGCCGGGCGCAGCGGCCAGGGGCTCGCGCTCCACCGTGGCGGCCCGCGGGGCGGCGCGCTCGGCGGCAAGGCCCTGGGGGTGCGGCGCCTCGTCCGGCTGGTCCTTGCCGGCCCCGCCGGCCGTCGCCTCGCTGGGGGCGCGAAGGGCCCTCCTGCTCCTCCTCTGCCTCCTCCTTTGCCTCCTCCTCCTCCTCCTCCTCCTTTTGTTCATTTTCCTTTTCCTTTTCCTTTTTCCCCCCCTTTTCCTCTTCGTCCTCCTCCTCCTCCTCCTCGTCCTCCTCCTCCTCCTCCTCCTCCTCCTCCTCTTCCTCCTCCCCTACCCTCGATCTCCCTCCCCCTCCTCTCCTGGTCCTCTGGGACGGCAGCGGTGCGCCCGAAGATCAGCTGGCGAGGCGCGGCCGACGCTCCTCCTACTCCTGCTCCTGCTCCTGCTCCTGCTCCACGACGAAGAACACGAAGGTCGGTCGGTCAGACTCGGCGCTGCAGCAGTCTGCGCGCCGGTCGGACGCGGCACTGCAGCAGCCTGTGCGCTGATCACTGGTCGAGCCTCATTTCCCCAGAGCCAGGATCTGGGAATACGAAGAGGTACCGATGACGGTACTCTCCGGACCTCTCTTGGGGTGCGCTCTGGCCTGGATTTCGCAGCGAATTCAGCTGTGACGACGAGGGCCTCCCAGGAGGCCCACAACGGCGAAAACGAGGCGAGGGCAGCGGTATAGGTACACGCCGGCCGGAAAAAGTATGTAAAAACACGAAGTAGTAAGGCGCGTGAAGTAGATTGGGTTTGGGCCCTCCCAGAACATAAAACATGATAACAAAACGCAGCAAAACCACATCGACTCTTGAGGTAGGAATGCATGTGAAGTAGACAGGGGGATGGGAATCAAGAGTACCTACTTTCAACGACCGGCGAGTACTTTCACCTCCTCTGAGAATCAGCGCAAGCACGGGGTGCGCGACCTTGCCCGCCCGCCCCCCCGAAGCGAAGGGGGGCGCCCAGCACCGAGACGCCAGCGAAGAGCAGGAGCGCGGCGGGAACAGGCGTGCGTCATTGGACGGCCTCGGCTCTCCTCCTCCTCCTCCTCCTCCTCCTCCTCCTCCTCCTCCTCCTCCTCCTCCTCCTCCTCCCCCTCCTCCTCGGACTGCGTGCGCCGCGGGCACAGGGGACACGGCCCCTCACTCGCGGGGAGGACCGCGCTCTCGCCCCCCACCTGCGGGGAGGGGGCGGCTTAGAATCTACGGCTCGATGGCCACAGCGTTATCAGCTACGTACCTCGCGCCCGCAACGTCGAGCGGGGCGAGCAGGAATGCGCAGCTCTATCAGGAGGGCGACGCTGCGGCGCGGGCGGCCTCCCCGTCGGCCCTGATTCTCGCGCGCAGCGCAGCCAGTCGAGCCTCGAAGCTCAAGACAGGATCGAGGTTCGAACGGGCAACGCTGGTGGTGATCGACTCTGGCTGCGCACTACCTGGCAGCACCTGATAGAGCAGGAGGGGGGAGGGAGGGTCGGTCGGATCGGGCACTGAGGCGGCCCTCGTGCCGTGATGGGGGAATGGCCCACGCCCCGCGAGCCAGAGGCAGCGCAACTCTTATCCCGCACGCCAGCCCCTCGGCGCGATGAGACCCGTGCTTGCCATGGGGCACCAGGCCCGCCCGGCACAGACCAGCAGGGGCGGCGGCGGAAAGGCGTAAACCGCTGGAGCGAAGCAAGAGACGAGGCGGGCTCCTACCTGGAAGGTCCAGCTCTCCCTGCTCGCCTGGCTGCTGGCGCGCCGAGGGCCCCGAGCGAAGCAAAAGACGAGGGAGGCGAAGCGGAAAGGCGTACAGGGCAGCTTTCAATACATAGGATTAAAAAATATGGGATTTAACACATGATTAATGTATGGATAAATGTATGCATGAACTCACCGTTGCTTTTAATGCTAAATCCCTGCATGTTTAATACATGATCCGACCGCGGAGAATGTATTAAACACGGCACTGTAAAGCCTCTGGCAGGGAGGGGGGCGAAGCGGCCGCCACGCCGTGCGCTCCCCGCCGTGCGCCTGCGCGGCTGGCCCTGGCTCCCGTCGAGGGCCTCGCCCATCGCTGGCGGCGCTGGCAGCGGCGGCGCCCAGCGCGCCTGCGGCACCCTCCTGATCCGCCTCCTCCTCCTCCTCCTCCTCCTCCTCGTCCTCCTCCTCCTCCTCGTCGTCCTCCTCGTCGTCGTCGTCCTCCTCCTCATCATCACCATAACCATCACCACCACCACCAGCAGCATCATCATCATCATCATCATCATCAGCAGCAGCATCATCATCATCATCATCATCATCAGCATCATCATCATCATCATCATCCTCATCATCATAATCATCATCATCATCATCAGCATCAGCATCATCATCATCATCATCATCATCATCATCATCATCATCATCATCATCATCATCATAAACAACATCATCATCAGCATCATCATCATCAGCATCAGCATCAGTATCAGCATCATCATCATCAGCATCATCAGCATCGGCATCATCACCATCATCACCACCATCATCATAACCATCGTCATCATCAGCACAATCAGCATCACCAACATCACCACTACCATCATCAGCAGCATCATCACCAGTAGTAGCAGCATCATCACCACCATCACCACCACCAGCATCATCATCGTCATCATCATCAGCATCATCGTCATCATCAGATTCAGCATCAGCATCAGCATCAACATCATCATCAACATCATCATCGTCATCATCGTCAGCATCATCATCATCCGCCTTTTACTCCATTCCTTCGGCTCCTCGTCCTCCGTCTCGTCCTCCTCGTCCTCCTCCTCTTCCACCTCCTCCAGCCTCGTCTTTGCACAAAGCGTTCGCCTGAGACTTGCTCACCACGGGTAATTCGGAAGCTGAACGTTCCCGACAGCTACACGGATGGAACACAACGGGTGTCCGAACTATGGCTCTCGCCTGTAGGGCCACGGATGTTCGTGTAAAAGCTTCCACCAGATACAAAGACAGAGCATAGATCATTTCCGGATGCTGGCTCTCGACTGAAGCGGCCAGCAATGCACGGAACACATTCAACACATGTCGCCCACAAAGCCTGAGTACCGTCTGTAGCGCTGCGCTGCAAAGCCTGAGTGCCGTTCTCCTGAATTCTGGAACTTCCGACGGCTACACGAATGGATGGCGCCGCCATGTCCACCTCAAGCTCTCGCGCACATGTTACACGTGTTTCTTCGCAACCTGAAAATTCCCAACTGTTCTGGAAGTCTGCCCCCTCTGGAAGGTTCTGTGGAATTCCGGAACACGAAAATTCCAACCTCCAGCAAGTGTGCGGATGGAGAGCAGCTCTCGCCTGGGCCACACATTGAACACCGAACCCTTATAGCCTCAGCAACTACACTTACGGATGGCGCTGCCATCACAACTTGGCGCTCTTGTTTAGGCACCGCGCACACTGCATTACATCTTCTACCAGCGACATCTATGGAATGTGATCCCTTCTCAACGCGGTCAGAACTAAATCGCATCCCTGTTAGACGCGTTCGAAGACTCACTTGGCTTTCACCGTGCAGGATCGTGGTGCCCTCGCCTTTCCAGCGGGTGCCCGCAATAGTGAAAAATAACACGTCGCATTGGCTTCGCATGGGACGTGAGGCTGCATCGCAGCACTAATGGAGTGTGCTGGGTTTGCCTTTGTCCTCCCCCCCCCTTCTCCTCCTCCTCCTCCTCCTCCTTTCGTGACCCGTCCCCCTATGTAATCATCCGACTCTTCTCCGCCTGTTCCTCCTTCTCCTCCTCCTCTTCCTCCTCCCTCCCGCTCCTCCTCCTCCTCCTCCTCCTCCTCCTCCTCCTCCCTTTTGGCAAACTTAAAGCATTTGGGATCGTAGCGTTCTTTGGGGTGACCAATACAGCTGGGCAATACCGACTGAGGCGCAGTATCGAACAACTTCGGCAGAGAGCTCGTGCGGAAAAGACACGGCAAAGAGTGCATGAAAAGTACAAGAGCCCGCGAGGGCACAGAGTAACTCAGCAGGCTGCCAGGGGGGGAAGAGAAATCAAAAATAACAGTCACGAGACTCATAACGTGGAGAGTCCTCTTCTTCCTCCGTTCCTGTTCCTTATGAATGACGCCTCCCTGTCGCACCCTGGGGCTGGTCGAAAGGGCGGGCCAGGCGTTTGGCCTGGCACTTCCTCACCATTTGGCATACTGAAGCTTAAACTTTGCAAGAGCTTCACGGATGGAGGGCGGGTGTTTTTTAATGTGGCTCTCGCCTTCGCGCCGCGCACATCCGTCTTCAAGATTTGCAGTAGTTTCACTGACGGAGGGCGGGTGTTGAAAATGTGGCTCTCACCTCAGCGCCGCGCACATCCGTCGTAACACACTGCAGAAGCTTCACGGATGGAGGCCGGTACTTTTTCAAGATGTGCTCTCGTCTTAGCGCCGCGCACATGTGTTTTAAGAGCGTACAACAGTTTCAAGAATTCTCATGGTTAACGTCCCAGACGTTGTGTTTTGGCACCATGTCGGAGAATCAGGGCGCAACAATAACGTTGATTCGTGGTATTGACATCCCAAGAATGGCTTTCTGGTACGATTCAGGAACGTCATAACGCTACCATAAATGGAACTCGCGGCGTTAAAGTCCCAGGAATGATGCTCTGGTGCAGTTCTGATTTTCAAACGGTTGCTTTCCAACGGGACAATTCCTTCAGTGAAAGTAAACCCTTTTAGGGACCTCTGAAGAGGGGACTTGGAGGGAGAGTTTGTTGCAAAATCGTTGAGTCTTGGGTTCACACTGGTCCTACACCTCCTCCTCCTCCTCCTCCTCCTCCTCTTCCTCCTCCTCCGCCTCCTCCTCAACCTCCTCCTTATTAGAGGCCGCCCAGATGCGGTCCGAGTAGATGGGGTCGGAGAAAGACGCTTCGGCGAAGCATCGGCGACGTCGGCGATGCATCGGCGCTGTCGGCGTGGAGAACATCGGGCTCCACATCGAGCCGCACATGCGATGCATCGGCGATACGGCACTACCGTCCGACCCCATCTGGTTGGAACCTATCTGGGAAGCCTAGAGACCCCAGACATCCGGCTGCCCAATTTTTTCCTATGCGTGGGCTCCGGAGATCCAGACCACTTCCCACGGACTATTTGTTCGTCCTGAGTCGTTTTTTGACGGTCCCGAGGCCCGGCGACGGCCCCAGGAGGCCGAACACGGCAGAGAACCCGCCGCTCCGATTTGTTCGGAGCGTCGGATCTCTGGGACTGAGCCTCCTCCACGCTGCCCTGGCAGGGCCGCCCCTCCTCCTCCTCCTCCTCCTCCTCCTCCTCCTCCTCCTCCTCCTCATCCTGCTGCTCCTCCTCCTGCTCCTCCTCCTCCTCCCCCTCCTCCTCCCCCTCCTCGTGCTTCTTCTCTTCCAGATCCCTCCTCCTCCTCCTCCTCCTCCTCCTCCTCCTCCTCCTCCTCTTCCCTGCTGCCCTGGCAGGGCCGCCTTGCGCGTCCGCTTCCCGCTGCCCCGGCGAGCCCGAGCCGACGACCGGGGAGCGGCGGAGCTTCTCGGCCGCGCCTGCGGCGCCTCGGGGAGGGAGGAGGAGGAGGAGGAGGAGGAGGAGGAGGAGGAGGAGGAGGAGGAGGAGGAGGAGGAGAGGAGGAGGAGGAGGAGGAGGAGGAGGAGGATTTTTTTGCCCGCTACAGGCCCTTCCACCTCTGCAGTGAAGCTCTGGCGGCATGGAGGGGCAGGCCGCCAGCCCCTGGTCGCTTAAAGATCCGACCAGGGTCCTCGCTGTACCGTGACTCTGTCATTCTTCGGATGAAGGCCACGGCATATTCTCTGCCAACAATGCCGTGCACCCGCACTGCTGGGGTGATCGGCACACTGACGAGACAAATTCATGGCACGCTGCCCGCTGATGGCCTTGCAACGCAGGCATACGATGAGGCGAGTCGAGTCGGAGCACTCGAGAGAAATGCAGCGATGCCCTTTCGCTGCAAGCAGCGCAGGATCAAGTCTACTGTGCTGAGGGCAAACGCCAGGCTGAGGAGGCCAGAACCATCCTCCAATTCCATGTTCCTGCGGCGGGGCCCGTACCCCGCGGGAGGCAGCCAGACATACAGTGCACCGCCAGAAGGCTCCTATCTGCTGCCAGGCGTGTGGGGTGGCTGCAGCTGTCCCTTGGCCAGCACCGCTCTCACGACACACGACCTCACGAACGACATCAGGACCCATCTCGAGAGGCGGCCAGAGCGGGAGGAGCTTTGCAGCCAGCATTCCCACAGCACGCGCGACTGCATATTGCCGATCAAGCTGCTCCACCTGCTCACTGCTGGGCTGCGGGTGGGAAGCCGCAGCGACTTTGGCTGCGGCATCAACATAATTATTGCCAATGCGGAGGAAGCGGTCTCGGTCGTCGGCCGCTTCATCAACATGTTGATGAGCCTTCACCTTGCTCGTAGTGATGACTGGTAGATTTTCACGCACGAACTGGGCACACCCCGAGTACAAGCGTTTGTGGCTGGTCTGTTTAATCCAATCTAAACTGGCATAATCTACAACATTCTGGCAGTCAGAGTGCATGGTAGATGGGTTGGCAACAAACCTAGCAGCAGCACAAAAAGCGTGGTATTCGGCACTCTGGGGGGTCTGGGGGTAGGGAGGCCACACAGGGCCCCGAATCCTGATCATCTCCTGCATGTTGGAAGGGTCGAGCAATGAGACGGCCCATCCAGCGCGTGAAAGCTCGCCCACTGGGTGTCGTAGGCAGGAACCATCAACAAAAATCTGACCAGCGAAGTCCTGATCGAAAACCAAATGCTCGTACCCCTCACAAAGCTCCGTGACGACCCCCTCTTCGAACGACGGCTGGGGGTGGGCCTCAGCTGGGCGGGGGGAGAGGCCGTAGCAAGCCAAGGCGTCGTCCGCTTGGCCTGCCCACTCCCGCACCTTAGCTGGAATCAGCTCCGTCCTGAGCTCAACACAGGCAGAGCAACTCCAAAGACGGTGACGAATCGTGTCGTCCCCGTCTCCACAAAGAGGGCAGGTGGTATCAATAATATATCCCAGGGATCTGGCCTTGGCCCTGGTGTAGGTGGCATTGCAAAAGAGAGAGCGGACACAACCTTTTTTTCGAAAGCCGTGAATTTTCGGGAGGTGAGGAGGCTGAGGATCCCATCAGTGCAAACCCTACCGAGATTGTGCCGAGCTCCCAGATCCCACTCGAGGGTACGACGCACCGCTCTCCCAAGCAGCGATCTGACCATCGCGGGCGAGACCTGGGCCAAGTGAACATCGATTCCTTTCTCATCACGGAGCACCGTGAAGGAAGGCATGGGCCACGAAATACGCTCAAGAGACTTCCTCATCGCACTGATCGGGCCCGCGACACTTTTCCAGAGGCCCGAGGGCCTCGAGAAGACAGCGTTCCAAGCCGAACGCAGCGTGGCGAACGAGAGGGCATGGGGGTACAGCCGATGATGGGTGGTCCAAACTTCTTTCGCCCAACGGTATATAGGGGCAATGGAGGCGACCCACGGCGGGTCGCCGTGGCACAGCATAAGAGCGGTGAGCGACCGACCGCCAGCACTAGGCTTCAGGGCCTTCCCAGCCAACTGCCTAAGGGAGAGGAGCTCGTGGTCCGTGACCCCTGAGATCTCGCACCCATACACCGCCCCTGGGAGAGGACCCGCGACGAAGACATTACGACAACGCTTACCCGAAATGGTGGGCCTCATTCGAACCAGACGAGCAGTCCTATCTTTCGCCTTCCTAGCCCTTTCCTTAGCCTTGGAGTTTCCCCCTCGGACCTTGGACGGCCTGCCAGCGCAAAAATCAACTCCCAAATTGGGCGCCGAGTCGGAGTCCAAGATCGGCCCCGCGAGACCCCCGAGAGCCCGAGAGATGGCTTTGCCTAAGGGGCGCGAGGAGCACACTAAGGACATCTTTTCCTTACTGATGACCGCGCCCACTCCGTGGGCGAGGGCGTCGTGCAAGCCAGCCGCGGCCTGAGGAAGCCGCTTTAAAACTTGTTTAAAGGAACCCGTGGCAGACAAGCCTCCATCGTCGATGTAGAGTTTGAACTGGACGGCCTGAGGGAGGCGGAGGGCGTCCGAATCTTGAGTATCATTAGCCCTGATGAAGGTCGTGGCCAGGGAACACCCCGCCACCACCCCCGCCAAGGCCCAATAGGGCCCGTCCACAAAACCTCCCAAGGACAGGAACCTGGCCTGGGAGTACATGGCAATGCACAAGTACGAGATACCAACAGGGAAGCCAACCTGGTGAGCACGGAGGGCCAGGACCTGGAGATCCAGGGTCTCATAATACTTGTACAAATCAGTTAACAGAGTGGCACATTCCATTCCTTGTGCAGTGCTGGCCTCGGCATTGCAGGCTTGGCGCCAGACGACGTCCTGCGCTCCTTCAAACGGGCCAGCACAAAAATACTCACGCGTGAATCTAGCTTCCCATTCATCGGCGAGAGTTCGGCGAAGCTTGCCATACATTCTAAACACGCTGCAGAATATACCGATAGGACGGAACCCGAGGACGGTTTAGCAATCAGAGCCATGATAATGATGGAAATTTGCATAGGGATGACAGCCGACCTCTCCATCAATCCTAGGATGTCGCACAGGAGGCTGAGACTGGCATCGGACATCATCGCAAAGTGCTTCATGTGAAATCCATCAACTGACACCGCGGTGCGCTCACGGAACCCCTTGGAGATCGCACGGATATCGACGGGCCTAAACTCGGGCAACGCAGGGGACAAGATACCCTTGGGGAGCCACGGGCGGGCCTTTCCGCCCCCCCAGCGGCCCGAGAAACGCTGGCTTTCGGCACGAAGGAGGGACAAGGGGTCAGCAACCACAACACCGTCACAGGCCAAGGTGGTGGTAGGCCTCCAGGGGGTGGCCCCCTTCGAGACCATATGTATATTCCGCGCCCCCTGATCCGCCTTCTCTAACAGCCAGTCTCTCCATTCAGCCGAGGCCGCCTTCCTGGCGTCGCACTCGACTTCCTGCAGGCGGTCATTAAAAGTGTTGCGCCACCAGACAAAATCTCGAGAAATGACTGCAAAGCGCGCTCCTGGGTCGGCCGCATCTCCAGGAGCGACATCAAGACGTCGACGTTTCAGTAAAACCCCCTGACGAGATATCTGCTCGTGCACCTCCAGCGCATCGAGCATGGCGCCCCCGACCTCGACGAGGTACGGGAGCAGGCGGGGGCTAACATCAAGGCCGCTGGCTATGGCCCCGACAGGGGTGCGCAGCACACGTAGCACAGAGGCAACACCTGCACGGCCACTGGCTTCCCAGTGGAGCCCAAGCCTCTGCGACTGAGAGTTAAGCCACCTATGTGCAAACAAGACGGGCTGCTTAGGGCTCTGGGCGTCGGGGACCAGGATGTTCTTCCATCTGAGAGCGGGGGCCTTCCCTCGGGACCCACGGAAGGGGAGCTGGGCGCCTGTGGCCACCGCCACTTCCGCCTCGGCCTGGTCCGCCCAAAGCCGATACAACTGGTCCACAGATTCCTGGATGGCATCGAAGTCCCCCCCATCCACCGCTTTCCGAGCTTCGCCCAGCACACGGGCGACGACAGGGCGCAAAGCGGGGACGGGGTCCAGCTTGCAGACGGGGGGGAGCGGAGAGGATGCCAGCTTAGGGGGGTTGCGAAAGCTGAGGGCTTGCAACTTACTCAGGAAGGGGCGGGGGGTCAAATGCGCAGGCGAGTGGGGGGATAAGTCACTATCCTGCCGCACCGACACCCTAGCAACCCCTTTGCTGAGCCCTGGCGAAACGAAAAAATAATCATAAACCTTCGGACCCGCGACCGAATTGCAAGTGGTGTCACCTGGTATCATCCACTGCCCTAGCGAGTCCCCGAGGTGCGACTGGACGACGACCGACGGGATCATGTTAAAGTCCCCTCCTATGATGACTGGGTACCCCATGGAGCCAATCAATGAGCCTGTCCGAGAGAGGAGGTCCAGGTTCGCTTCCGATAGGTCTTCGCAATCTCTGAGATAGAGGGACGCGCACAGAATCTGGGTGCCGTCGGGGAGGTCGACCACCCCCGCAATCGCACGGTGCTTCGCGACATCCATGCCACTCTGCAGCGCGTGGAGGCCCAGACCAGAACGAACGAGGATGGCTACACCAGCAGAGGGCCCTCCGTGTGGTCCTTTGTCAGCAGGTAGGAAAAGTGACTTCCAACCGCGTCTTATACTCCAAGAGGATGCTGAGGCGAGCTGGTCGTCAAAGATGCGGTGCTCTTGCATCAGCACGATGTGTGCAGAAGTCCGTTGCAGCCAGCGCTGTGCAGAGCCCCACCCTGAGACGTCGCACGTTTCCACGACGGGCTGGAACGCGTCGACGGGGAACTGATCAGGATCCAGGGGCTCGAGGAGAGGGGTCCCAGAGTGCTTACCACCAGGAGGCTGCCTAGGGCCCGTGAGGCCCCTCACCCTAGACGCGCACACAGACATTTCCACGGCAGGAGCAGATACACTCGCATCCTGAGCAATTAAAAACTTGGAAACAACTGTGACCCCTTGGGTGAGCTTATCCCAGGCTCCC